GAGATTACGGGTTTAGACATCAATCTCATTAAAAATTTCAGTATTTTATTAAGAACACTTTCCTCTGGCTATGATATTAACTATTATAAATTTGAAAAACTTTGTTCTGAAACCAAAATTCTTTATATTAATCTGTATCCGTGGTACTATATGCCTGTTACTGTGCACAAAATAATTGTACATAGCACGGAAGTTATAAAAACATGCCTTCTTCCAATAGGACAACTATCAGAAGAGTCTCAAGAAGCCCGAAATAAAGATTTTTGTCGATTCCGCGAACACCATACAAGAAAAAGTTCACGTATTTGCACAAATACAGATTTGCTCGATATGCTTTTGGTAACATCAGATCACACAGTCATCAACTCACACAGAGAATCGTTAAGAAAGAAAACTGGTAAACTACCGTTGGAAGTTTTGAATTTAATTATCCACCTATATCACTAAAGCTTGTTGAAAATAGAATTATGTGTGACGATGATGATTATTTAGAGTCCGATTCATCGGGTAGTGAAAGTAACAATGATTCATCCGATAATAATTAATTATAAAGTATTTTTTTTATTTTACTTAGTGTAGTGAGTATATTTTTATATTTTGTATATTTGTAGTGAGTATATTTTTATTTTAGGCAAAATTTTATTACATTATTTGTGTTGAAATTTAGTATTTTATCTATTTTTATTACTTAATCATCTTTTTCAAGACAAAAATTTTTAAAAACTTCAAAGTAATTAAAATATCGCCTTTTTTACAATAAAATTAAAAAAAAAAAAAAAAACTTTTTATAGTAAAATTGACTTTTTGGCGCCCCTTTAAGCTTAAACGCGCGGAGTAAATAGCATTTAAATGAGCTAAATTAATTAAATTAAATTATTTAGTTTTTTTAGTTCACTATAGATTTTTTTAGTTAACTATAGATTTTTAATGAACTATAATTTTTAAATTAGAACTAGAGTTTTACAAACACTAATATCAATGCTGAATAATTAAAAAATTCAGAAGAAAAAAAAAGTACATATATTTTTATTTAAATGTAGATATATACTTAATTAAATAAAAAAATAAATATTTACAAATAAAAATAAATTAAAACATTTAATTTTTTTTAATCAAAATATAATAAATATTATTTGATGAATTGTATTTACACATAATATAATTTACACAATATAATTTTTCTACAATTTTAAAAAAGAGTATGAAAACAAATATTTATAAAGAGTTCAAAGCTTTATTCTTTTTAGTTTAAATTTTATCATAAAGAAAATTTAAATTTTTGATTAAAGTTTTTTGCTGAAAAAAAAATCTTAACAAAAATGTTCATTTTTATAATCATAATTAGGACACAATTAAATATTATTTACAAAAATAAATAAGCATAAGATATTAAAAAAGAGCATAAAATTTAATTAGACCTCTACTATTATTTTCAAATCAAACATTTTTATTTTGATAAACTATTATAAGAAATTCATTAGAAATGAAACTCACGGTCAAATTTGAGGTATCTTATCAATACTCGGGACAGCGGAAGTGATTCGACAAGTTTAACTTCTTTTATGCTTTGCAAAATTACAATTCGACATAATGCTTGCAAAGTGGATGGTTGTGTATCTAAAAAATATATTTTAAATTCATTTCTATGCCAATGATAAGGTGTCCTAAGTGACGCCTCATATTTGATATAGCTAAACAATTTTTCTGAAAATTGATGCTTATATGTGATTTTGAGTGTAGAATCTAAATCTGAAACATAAGAATTGAAAAGTTTTTAACATTTTTTTTTATCTAGCGCTGGGAGAAACCTAGACCTCTACTATTTTTGGGTCAAAAATAGTAGAGATTTATATCAATTTTAATCTAATTAAAATTTAATTAAAAATTAATTAGACTTCTACTATTTTTTGAACTTAACCAAATGAAAGTTGCTTTAGTTACAATTTGTTTTTTCTCATGTTCAAAAACTTTCATCGGGATGGTAATATTATATATTCATATTCAATTCTTTTTCGTTCCAATTGAGAAAGGCATAGTACATCGACTTCAAAATAAAAGTTGTAACTAAGAAACTCAATATTTTATTTTTAAAACTTGAATTGTCTAACAGAACATTGATTTCAAAATAAAAATTGCAATTAAGAAATAAAATATTTTATTGAAAAATTTTGAATTGCTTAACAAAATACTGATCATCAGTACATTGATTGATATGCTAATGATCAATCGACATACGTACATAGTGCATTAATTGATATGCTAATGATCAATCGACATACGTTTATTTTAGTACTAAACTATGTGTCTTTTATTTCTAATTACTAATTCCATCCGTTTTGGCAGTCAGTGAGTTTCCAAACGTATTCTGAGTCTATTTTTTTAGGTCTATTTAGTTATTCAGATTTTAGAGCTTGAAACCTCTCCAATGTCAAGATCTATTCATTGCAAATAAAGTCTACTTACTGTTTTGGTTGAATACACTTTCAAACAACATTAACAGCACACTTTATCCTCGCCAAGCCAGAATCATTGTTTTTTCATTTAAAGAGAGATATTTCCCAGGCATATTGGATAATTTTTAAAATTACAGAAGTTGAACAACAAAAGTGCTAAAAAGACTATTTTTGATTTGGTCAAAAATTGTTTTTTTTAGCATTTTTGTTTTGCTGGTGAAAAAACAGCGACTGTCAGAGTTTTGTGACATACTACTAAGTTTTGAAGATTGCATATGAAATACTTCACACAAAACTGCCAAACATAAGATGACCCAATTTTGTGCTTAAATAACGCCAGAAATCAAATTTCATTTTGCTCATTTTTTTCATAAGAAAATTATGTGATGGGAAAATAAGGTTAAATGACTACAAAAAAAGGAATTTTGTTTAATCTGCATAAACCTTTGTACAAATAATTTGTACAAAGCATTTTTATTAAACGGATTTTTTTAACTGAAGGAAAAATTTGCAGTTTTTGTATCAGTCATTCAGTTCTTTTCTTTTTTTCCATATGAAATCACCTAGTTTTTTAAAAAAAACCCAGAGTACTACCTCTTTTTTTTTTTGCTTTAAAATTTACTTTAAATTTTGATCACCGACAGATTTTATAAAAAAATACAATCCTTAAAATTTCAGCTTGGCTGAACAAACCATTGAAAAGTTTTAACGCCCAAAAAATACATTAAGTCATTCTTTTATATATTAGTTATAAAAATTCTATAAATGAAAAACATAAGTTGGGAAAATTTTAAGAAATAGCCCTTTCAAAAAACGCGCGCGATTCTTCAAAGTTTTCCCAACAAATGTTTTTCATTTTTATAATTTTTATAACTAATATATATATATATATATATATATATATATATATATATATATATATATATATATATATATATATATACACATAAATATATATATATTTTTTATTTTTTTAAATAAAATATATATATTTAACTATTTTATTGTATAGTGCTATAGAAAATTTGTATAGTATTAGTTTTTCACTTGAATAATTCATTTTTGCAGTTGTTTTTGGCACTTTGCATGCATAGAAAATAGCGAAAACAGTATAAATAAATAACGAAATTTTTTAATGTGGATTTCTATATATAGACAACCACCAAATAAAATTTAAAGACCTATACTATCTTATGACATAATTTTAGCCTTAAGAGTGTGATGCTTTTTAAGTTTAAAAGGAACCCTGAAAAACAACGCAAGTTATATTATATTGCAAATATGTTTATATTATATTGCAAGTTATATTATATTGCAAATAAAAAATAAAACAATGCTGAAAGAAGAAATGTATACAAACATGAAACGTAAGTAGTCTAATTTCTTTATCTCTGATTTACATAACTCATAATACCGCCATAATCATTATTAGCAAGATTGTAATCACAAGCACTTCTACCCTTAATGGATGGACCATTTATTTGACATAGTACTTTTTCAAATGGACTAAGACTTACTTGATTGAGCATCATTATTCCATTTCAAATTTAATTTGTTTTTATGCGTGAAGGTCACATTAACATTATGGTTTTCATTACAAATCTTAAACACAAACTTTTTGTCACCATTGTAAAAGCATACAATGTATTTAACAGGTTTAAATTTTGAAGGATCTTTGTGTACTAAGTTGCACATTATTCAGCAAATGGGTATCATAGACAGGATCGCTAGATATTCATAAATTATGTTAACACCTTTTAATACCCATTTAAACAGTTCATATGATGCAAGAATCTGAGCTGTAATTGCTGCTCATAGACTTGTTTTTGCTGTTTCTTTTTATATATTTCATCATATTTCACTACAAAGGCTTTTGCCATGAGGCGTAGTAAAGAGATGATGCTCATCATTTATATTGTGATCTTTAAAGTGGTACATTAAGTTCAATAAACATTTGTAGTTTTTGTACTGTGACACAGCACATTTATTGAGTTATTATACTTTATTGATTGTGGGTAGTTTGATTTTGACTATGAGGAGTAACTTTAGATGAAAACAATCAACTCTTGTTTCTTCATTGCAAAGATGGTCAAAAATTATAAAACAGCATTACATTTGAGATCTTTTTGATCTTTGTAATAAACAACAAATGGATGTAAGGTAGCTTGATCAGCTTGCCAGTAAAACCCTTGTACAGCATCTTACACAGGAAAACTATAGTTCTCTGCAAAATCCATAAAAATAAAACAGGTGTGGTGATCTAATGTTATTTTTGCCTCTGAGGAGAACTGTGCTTCTTTGATAAAGTGGTGGTGACAAAGATCAAGGTGACAAAGACAAAGGTGACAAAGTTTCACTTTCAGTTTCGATAAATCCAACAATGCTTGCTTGAACTGTGACAAGTGCAGATTGGTCAGTTGATACCCATTATTTGTAAGTGATTAAATAGTCAAAATCATTCTTTTCAAACACATTTTCAAAGTAAGTCTTCAAATTTAATTTACCAGGGCAGTTATAATATAGATGAAACATGCAGCAATGACTAACTATATTACAAACACACTTTTATCAATTAAATTAATGTCTTTGTAATATATTATACAGCCCTTGAGTAAAGCTTCACAGATCAACTTAGAACTTTGATGATAAGAACATAAAAAAACTGACAGATTTCCACTATTGTCAACTGTGATGCAACATTGAATCCAACTTATGTTTAGGGTATAACTTCTTAAACTCCAGATGAAGTTTCTTTAAACGAGCTAATTAAACGTTTTTATTTATAAACTTTTACATTATTTATAGCAAAGAAACAAAATCGTTTCTTCCTGGACATTGTCTTGTGAACTCTTCAGATTCATAAATTTTAATTATGATAATTTATGACAATGACAATTAACAATATTTTTCAAAGCTCATTTTAGCCTTTGGTTTAGCAAGCATCCCTTTTTTATTTTTCAACTTTAGAGCTTTCTTAACAAGATGTTCCTGAACTGAAAATGTTTTGCAAGTTTTTCAATTGACAAATTGACAACTATCAGAAGTTAATGAGAGTAACTGATATTTTTATCTTTCTTTAAACTTATTTTTTATTATTTTTTACATATAAAGATTTGTCTAAATCATTATAGTTTATGCTCTTTTGCTTTTTTTTCATCTTTTTTCATAAATTTTTTTCGCCTTTTTGTCTGTATCCAATGCTAATGCTACTAGGTTTGTCACACTTGTATTTAGTTTTTTAACTTTTTGCTTTCCACAACCAATTAAAATCAGTAAAAAATTGAAATTTAAAATTTTGCAAATTTTATCAAATTTTAATAAATTTATTCATTTTCTCAAGGCCAAAGGGGTCACTGCAACCAAGGAGGCTACTCATTTTTTATTAGTAGAGGCCAACGAGGTTGCTGCAGTTGAAAAAGCTACTATTCTAATTTATTTATTACAAATCTCATTAACACTAAGAAAAATACAAATTTAGCAAACAAAGCCTTTAAAATAAGTCTATTATGGTCACACAAGGAATGTGGTGCAATTAAAACCTTTTTGTTAACAAACTAAAGAAACCTTGAAATGAATATCAACCTTAAAATGCATACCAATAGAAAATATTTAGCCATAAAGAAATACTGAAAATTGAATTCTTTATCTGCATTGAATAATTTGCTTTATTAAATAATACTCTGAAGTAAATAAATTCTTAATTATATTTTTACAATTGAGTATAACACAGCCAGCCATAAACTACTACAGTTGCGAATATCTAGCAAGCTATATTAATATTATAGAGGAAATACTTATAGTGAGCAAATACTTATCAAAACACGCTTTAGTAAGTGTGTGTGTGTATATATATATATATATATATATATATATATATATATATATATATATATATATATATATATATATATATATATATATATATATAATATATATATATATATATATATATGTATATATATGTATATATATATATATATATATATATATATATATATATATATGTATATATATATATATATATATATATTATATATATATATATATATATGTATATATATATATATATATATATATATATATATATATATATATATATATATATATATATATATATATATATATATATATATATATATATATATATATACGTATATATATATATATATATATATATATGCGTTTTGTATTACTAATGTTTGTTCTTTGAATACCAGTATTAATACCAGAATTTTTATTCAATAACTTTTGATGAATGCTTTGTTTATTCACTTTTAGTTATTTATGTTTATAAACTATTAATGCATTTTCTAAATATTTATGTTTATAAACTATTTATGTATTTTCCAAGTTTTTATGTTTATAAACTATTTATGTATTTTCCAAAATAAACTAATTTTTAATTTTTATTTAAAATCTTATATATATATATATATATATATATATATATATATTATATAATATATATATATATATATATATATATATATATATATATATATATATACATAATATATATATATATATATATATACATATATATACAATTATTTGTCATTTTTTTTGTAGTAACTTTATTAGGCACAATTCAAAATTACTGTGCCTAACACAAAAATTTATTGTTTATAGACACTAACCATTTGTCTAAACACAAAAATTTATTGTTTATAGACACTAACCATTTGTATATAAAAAAAAGTACACAACAGAGGTAACTGGCAAGGAAAGTTATCATCAGTATTAATTTTAGGCATCAGTTGAAATTCTATAGTCTATAAATCAATATACTATCATAAAATCTAGCCATTTTGTAATATTTATATGTTAATAAAATGTCTCACATAATTGTGTTATCGTAACTATTTTTTGAGTTATATTAAAAAATTATGTAAAATTTTTTAGTATAAACCTAAGTTGATAAAAATGTACCAAACATACAAATCTTAAAAACTGCTTGATTTAAACTCTTCTCTTCAAGATTTGTAAATTGAGCTTGCAAAATTAAGCTATGTTGCCACTCACCATTTGATAACTGTGATTTCACTAGCTTAAAAAAAAAAGAAAAAAAGATGAAGCTACAATTTTAAAAAGGCATAAATATGCATGTATTATTCAATTCGATTCTTTGTTATTATTTTATGAACATATGCAGCAAAAAAATTAAACCTTATGATATGATATAATAAACCATTTTTTATTTATTATAACAGAGTATTTAATATTATATATAATACTATATATAGAGTATTTAATATTAATGCAATAAAACTTTGTTAAATAGAATATTAATAAAAATTTAAACAAAAAAACATTTCATATCATTTAATTAAAATCTGTTAAAAATAGTTTTAAGCTCAAATGTTTAAGCAACCCTTGGAATTAGAAAAAATGATTGCCGACCTCAAACTGTTAGAGGTTGGCAAGAAAAATTTGACACAAAGAGGTTACCATAAAATAAAGAAATGAGGTCTGCAATTTTTTGCCAACCTCAAACACTTTCGGTAGTTATGTTGGGTTGGTTTAAGATATATTCTTGTCGTAGTGCCCTGATCAATATCTTGGAAAGGTAAATACAGGAATATATATATATATATATATATATATATATATATATATATATATATATATATATATATATATATATATATATATATATATATATATATATATATATATATATATATATATATATATATATACTAGCAAGCAAAAGTTTTTGGTCAGTGTGAATCATCTATAAAAAACAACTTATGCTTATTTATTTCATCAGTTTATTATTAATACATTTCTCAACCTTATTTTAATTTAATAATTTAACAAGATTTTACTCTCATCAATATGACCACCTTTAGTGCGGATGACAGCCTTACAGAGATTTGGCATACAAGAGTGTAACATATCTAATGTTTCAAAATTTAAGTTTTTATATTAGTTGAGAACATTATGTGTACTCTTCTGTTTGGCTCATTCCATAGCTTCTCTATAGGATTTGTATCAGATGATTGTGGAAACTAATCATGATTTTAAGCACTTTCTGCTTTTCTTTTGTCTTCAAATAATTTGAATATAATTTAGAAGTGTGTTTAGGGTCATTGTCTTGTTGAAAGACAAACCCTTTACCAATATTACAAATACCAGATTGCACTGTATGATGAATTAAAATACTAAGGTACACTTTTTTATCCATTGTTGATTTGACTTGAACTAAATCGCCAATTTTTCTTTTTTCAAAACCACCCAAATCATGACATTACAACCATCGTGTTTCACTGAATAACTCAAACAAATATCATTTACATATTCATCTACCACTCCTTGGACATATGACGTCTTCTAGTTTTAAACAATTTAAATTTTGATTTATCAGTCCAAAAGACTTTTTTCGATTGATCCAATATCCATGAATCTATGATCTCTTGCCAATTTAATCTGTTTTTGTTTATTTACACAACGTAGTTTGTAAATAAACAAAAACAGGTTTTCGACCACTATAAGGTTTTCGACATGCCATCTACCCTAACTCTAAGTAGTCGTATCCATTTGATCATTTATTTGATCAAATGTTTTTGATTCATTGATCATTTAGTTGAGTTTGTCTCTGTTGTTCAAAAATAGAAATTATATTCGGTAATTACGCATAAAAACCAATGTACAATAATATATATTCAGTAATAAAACTTGTATTTTAAATAAATATTACTATTAAAAATAATGCAATTTACTCAAAATATACTTGAGAAAACATACTTTTGCATTTGGCTATATTAATGAATATTTTTCCTTCAAAAACTAAATAAATTTTCAAAATTTGTGCACTTCTTGAGTTGGGAAAGATGACAAAAAGAAGCATGGAGCATTATAAAGAACATTATTAATTACAAGAAAAGCAAAAATCTTTAGAATTTATTTTTCTGTCTTTAGTTTCTTTTGTAGTCTTAATATAACTATAAAACTTAGTTTTGATTTCCATTTAAAAGAATAACTTTAACTAAGCACCTTTGTCAGCAAAAATCTAAAGGAGGCATGGCATAGTGCGTGTGTGTGTGTGTGTGGAGGGGGGGGGGGAGAGGCATGGCATAGGGTGTGTGTGTGTGTGTGTGTGTGTGTGTGTGTGTGTGTGTGTGTGTGTGTGTGTGTGGAAAGGAGGGAAAGGAGGCATGACATAATGTGTGTGGGGGGGAGGGAAGGGGGGTAGGAGAAGGAAACACTCTAACTCAAGTTTAATTTCAAATTAAAGTAACAAATAAGTCACTAAACTTTTAATCATAAAATATTTTTAATTTACCAAAGTTAATCTCAGATAAATTTATTGAGTTTTTGAATTGGAAACTCAGTAATAAGGCTAATGCAAAAAAATGTATCGAATGAAAAATACATGTTTTATATGTATGTATGTATGTATGTATGTATGTATGTATGTATGTATGTATGTATGTATGTATGTATGTATGTATATATGTATGTATATATATATATATATATATATATATATATATATGTATATATATATATATATATATATATATATATATATATATATATACACACACATATATATATATACATGTATGTATGTATGTATATATATATATATATATATACATATATATATATATATATTATATACACATATATATACATATATATATATATATACATATATATATATATACATATATATATATATATATATATATATATATATATATATATATATATATATATATATATATATATATATATATATATATATATGTATATATATATATATATATATATATATATATATATATATATACACACACATATATATATATATACATGTATGTATGTATGTATGTATATATATATATATACATATATATATATATATTATATACACATATATATACATATATATATATATATATATATATATATATATATATATATATATATACATATATATATATATATTTTTTTTTTTTTTTTTTTTTTTTTTAACATCTTCACTTCCAACAAGGCTGCAAGCAACCACTATAAGAGTTGGAAGTTACTGGAAGAGGAAAGACTAAATCTGTAGAGCAAGATAACGATTGACTGATGACTTAAAAGATTGCAAATTATATGAATCAGGAAAGCAAGATGAAGGAAGCGAATTCCAAAGAACTGATGTTCGAGGAAAAAAACTAGAAGAATAAGAGTTTTTGAAGCACTTAGGAACAGTCACAGAAAAAGGATGAGACTTAATTGAATGGCGAGTAACACGAGAATGAATTTTAGTAGATGGCACAAGGGACGCTAGCTCTTTAGAGCAGTGCCTATTATAGTATTTGTAGAAAAGAGAAAGAGAAGCAACATTACGACGATGTGACAAAGGTTGGAGATGTTTAACTATGTTTACAATTCGTTTTTGCACCTTGTCTAAAAGAGAAAGAGCATCATTAGAAGATCCGCCCCAGATGTGGCAACAGTATTCCATACAGGGACGGATTTGAGATTTATAGAGATAGAGAATAGAATCTGGAGTAAGAAAGTGTCGAGCTCGATAAAGAGATGCAACCTTAGCAGATGCTAATTTTGCAATGGATTTGATATACGGTTTAAAAGAAAGATCAGAAGTAAGAGTTAATCCTAGAAGATGAATGGTAGATGACTCATCTAGTACATTACCATTCATAAATATAGGAAGATCTAAATTATTACAATAACGATTGGCCGAATAAAATTGAGTTTTATCTGAATTAAAGTTCACCAGCCACTGTGAGCCCCATGCTGTAGCAGAAGTGAGATCCTTTTCAAGCTCAGATACCCCCTCCAAGCAATCAGAGAGTGTAGGCTTCTTATCATGACAAGAGTAAATGGTAGTGTCGTCGGCGAATAATGCCACCTTAGATGTGAGAATATCTGGAAGATCGTTAATGTAAATTAAAAAGAGTATAGGGCCAAGGATTGAACCTTGAGGAACCCCTGAAGTTACAGGATGTGAAGAAGAGTGTTGTCCATCGAGGACAACTTTTATACTACAATTGGAAAGAAAGGACTCAATAATCTTAAAGACGTTACCAGCTACACCATAAGAAGAAAGCTTATGGAGAAGACCAGCATGCCAAACTTTATCAAAAGCTTTAGAAATGTCAAGTGCGATAGCCTTAACCTCTCCACCTCTATCTAATGCACGGTAAAACCTATCGGTTATTACTGTTAGCACATCAGCTGTAGAACGAGAAGACCGAAATCCATATTGATGATCAGAAAGTAAGTTATTTGATTCAAGATGAGAGATTAAGTGTTTGTTGATTAAAGATTCAAAAACCTTGCTTATGACAGGAAGAAGACTAATGGGACGGTAGTTAGATGAATCAGATCGCTCTCCGGAATTTTTGAAAATAGGGATAACAGATGCTGCTTTCCAGCATGATGGAAAACAAGACTCTGATAAGCACTTGTTAAATAGTTTAGAGAGTATGGATGAAAGCTCAGGAGAACACCTCTGCAAGACTACAACAGGAATGTTGTCAGGACCACAAGCTGTTGAAGAGTCTAAGCAGGAAATTACTTTAGATACAGAAGCTGAAGTGATGCGAATGTCAAGCAAGGGATCAACCTGTTTGACGGCTATGTCAGGTAAAACGCAACTAGTGGAATCAAGAGATGATATTGATGAAAAGTTCTTAGCAAACAATTCAGCTTTGTCTTTAGGTGAGGTGACAAAGTCTGAACCATACAAGAGAGAAGGAATAACAGATTTGCCCTTATTATTGATACTGTTAAAGATTCTCCAGAAGTCTCGAGAGCCTAATTTTTGTGATGAGATACGAAATTTAATGACCTGGGAATAGCAAGCTTTGGCGTCAGACAAAACCTTTTTACAATGGTTTCTGGCGATAGTGAACAGATGTCTGTTTTCTGGAGAATTGTTTTGCTGATAGATATGGAAGTAACAGTTTCGATTAGAAATTGCTGCAGCGCAATGTGAGGAAAACCAAGGAGAAGAGTGAGGCTTGACCTGGAATCGTCAAGAGGGAATAAAAGATTCCATGCCAGCCTGAATCCACAAAGTTATGT